AGAGATGTGGGGAGTCCAGGCCATTTGCCTGCGAACCTCTTTCTTTCCTCTGGGTGCTTTCTTACAGGTGGATTTGTCTTGCCCAGTTACTCCGGATCCCAGAGAACCTCAGTGAGGAGCCACACTTAGTTTAAGGGGTTCTTGATGGGTAAGGCGGAACAAGGATTGACCAAGGCAGGAGTCATCAGCCCTCCAGTCTCTGAGCTTTGGCAGGTTCAGCTCATCCGGAACCAAAGAGGGGAGGTGATGGAGGATGGGCTAGTGGGAAGAGAGGAGGGTGTGGACTGGCGGGATGGGAGGAATTTCAGCCATTGAGCTAACCTTGGAGCTGGAGCTGTGCAGCGTGTCTGCCTCCCCCTCATCCAGTCAGCGCACCTGTCTCCACCTTTGTGGCACCTCTGGAAGAGTGGCCTGCTGCTGCTGCTGCAGACTGGGGGGCCCAGGGACACAGCTAGGGAGGGTCTTACTCACGTGCATGAGTGACTAGAACCCTGGGCCTGCTGCGTTGGGTCTTAGAGCTGGCACTCCTGGGTCCCTATGCTATGGAGCTGGCAGTCAGCAGGAAGTGAGTCCCAGGGCGAGAAGAGGCCATGTGGTCCCAGGCAGGAAGTGACAGTGGAGTTGCCTCGAGCAGCTTTGCGGACTTCAGAGCCTGCCCCAGCCTGACGTGTCTATAGGCCAGCAGATGGCAAGAGGAAGGGAAGACATGACCATGGTAAGAGATTTGGTCTGACCGATGCTTCTCGGTCTGAGTTGGCCAGGCAGGACCCCACACCCACCTCACAACTAGAGCCGTGTTTGGGGCTTTGGGGTACTTAGCCCAGCTGGACACCGGAAGATGGCTGTCAGGGCCAGGGCATGCGCCATTCTCCAGGCTCTTAGGGCATGTAACTGAGCTTTGAAGGGCAAGAATCATTCTAGGCTGGAGGTGCTGTTTATTTAGGCCAGGAGGTGGGAGAGACCCTATGAGTCTTGGGGGGTTCCTGACACACGGGATGGAGGCTGAGGTGGTAGACAGGAGTCTCCTTGTTCCACTTTCCATCCTGTGTTTGACCTTCTTGGCTCTGCTGGTGTGGGCCCCGGCCCTGAGCACAGGGAAGACTCCCTGCTTCCACTAGCCCCCTCTTCCTCTCACTGCAGCCCCTGCTCCCAGATGCTGAGGAGTGCACATGGGCATAGCTGTCAGGGGCGGGGGGTCCGTCCTGGGAGCAGGCCTCCCCTGACCACCACACAACCTGGGAACGCAGCTGGGCAATGCCCCTCTTGCTCCCCTCAAGCTGTTCCGTGCATTACAGCCTGGGTGTCAGAGTGAGACTCCAATTCAGGAAAAAAAAGATCGGACACATATTTCCAGGAAGGAAAGAATACCCGAGAAGACTGCAGTTTTGTACTTGTCTCTATTTGCCACCTCTGCTCGCCAGAGAACAGTGGGCTCAGAGTTCAAGTCCTAGACCCTTAGAGCAGAAGCAGCCTTGGAAATTGGACTTGCAGGGAGGCACTGGGGAACTGCGCTCTCTCTGACTTTGCACAGAGTGGTGGAGATTCTGTGGGAGGGAATCTGGCAGCCTGTCTGCACACTAAGATGGGTGGGCCCTTTCACTTGGCACGGCCATTTCCGCAACTCTGTCCTATGGAAACATGCTGTGTGCAGACCTCTAAGCGCAAGGATGTTCACTGCAGCAAAAAGCACACCAGCCCCAATGCCCACCCTCAGGGAACTGTTTGCCTCAGTTTGGGAGCCTCCAGATCCATATGCACCGGGATGGAGAGATGCCCACTGTGCTTGTGAAGTGAAAAAGCGAGTTGCAGAACGTTATGACTAGGATGATACCCTTATAGAAGAAAACATTTCTGGATCAGAATGTGTGTATGGATACATATGTACAAACATGTAACTTATCCATGATTTGCAAATGTATACCAAAAAAGTCTGGAAAGGATAATCACCAAAGTGTTGATAATAGTTTACCTAGGGAATGATTTGGAAGGTAGGGAGTTAAATAGGTACTTTAACCTTTTAACACTGTTCATTTTTGTGTGGTTTGAACTTTTAGAATACATGCGTCCAACCTTTTTTTCTGAATTGGAGTCTCACTCTGCCACCCAGGCTGAAGTGCAGTGGCATGGTCGGCTCACAGCAGCCTTGACTTCCTGGGCTTAGGCAATCCACTTCAGCCTCCAGTGTAGCTGGGACTACAGGTGCTTGCCACCATGCTCGACTAATTGTTTTATTTTTTTGTAGAGACAGGTCTCATTATGTTGCCCAGGCTGGGGTCTTAAACTCCTGATTCAAGCAATCATCCCACCTCAGCCTCCCAAAATTCTGGGACTGCAAGCGTGAGCTACTGTGCCCTGCCACGTCTGACTTTTTTTTTTTGAGTTGGAGTCTCACTCAGCCGCCCAGACTGGAGTGCAGTGGCCGCTCC